TCACAAGGGCACAGTACGGGGGGAGTCAGGAGGACACAATGCCGGGATCAGAGGGCACAGTACGGGGGGAGTCAGGAGGACACAATGCCGGGATCAGAGGGCACAGTACAGGGGGAGTCAGGAGGACACAATGCCGGGATCAGAGGGCACAGTACAGGGGGAGTCAGGAGGACACAATGCCGGGATCACAAGGGCACAGTACAGGGGGGAGTCAGGAGGACACAATGCCGGGATCACAAGGGCACAGTACAGGGGGAGTCAGGAGGACACAATGCCGGGATCAGAGGGCACAGTACAGGGGGAGTCAGGAGGACACAATGCCGGGATCACGAGGGCACAGTACAGGGGGAGTCAGGAGGACACACAATGCCGGGATCACGAGGGCACAGTACAGGGGGGGAGTCAGGAGGACACAATGCCGGGATCACGAGGGCACAGTACGGGGGGAGTCAGGAGGACACAATGCCGGGATCACGAGGGCACAGTACAGGGGGAGTCAGGAGGACACAATGCCGGGATCACGAGGGCACAGTACAGGGGGAGTCAGGAGGACACAATGCCGGGATCACGAGGGCACAGTACGGGGGGAGTCAGGAGGACACAATGCCGGGATCACAAGGGCACAGTACGGGGGGAGTCAGGAGGACACAATGCCGGGATCACAAGGGCACAGTACGGGGGGAGTCAGGAGGACACAATGCCGGGATCAGAGGGCACAGTACAGGGGGAGTCAGGAGGACACAATGCCGGGATCACAAGGGCACAGTACGGGGGGAGTCAGGAGGACACAATGCCGGGATCACAAGGGCACAGTACGGGGGGAGTCAGGAGGACACAATGCCGGGATCACAAGGGCACAGTACAGGGGGAGTCAGGAGGACACAATGCCGGGATCACAAGGGCACAGTACAGGGGGAGTCAGGAGGACACAATGCCGGGATCACAAGGGCACAGTACAGGGGGAGTCAGGAGGACACAATGCCGGGATCACGAGGGCACAGTACGGGGGGAGTCAGGAGGACACAATGCCGGGATCACAAGGGCACAGTACGGGGGGAGTCAGGAGGACACAATGCCGGGATCACAAGGGCACTGTACGGGGGGAGTCAGGAGGACACAATGCCGGGATCACGAGGGCACAGTACAGGGGGAGTCAGGAGGACACAATGCCGGGATCACAAGGGCACTGTATGGGGGGGAGTCAGGAGGACACAATGCCGGGATCACGAGGGCAGAGTACAGGGGGAGTCAGGAGGACACAATGCTGGGATCACGAGGGCACAGTACAGGGGGAGTCAGGAGGACACAATGCTGGGATCACGAGGGCACAGTACAGGGGGAGTCAGGAGGACACAATGCTGGGATCACGAGGGCACAGTACAGGGGGAGTCAGGAGGACACACACAATGCTGGGATCACGAGGGCACAGTACAGGGGGAGTCAGGAGGACACAATGCAGGGATCACGAGGGCACAGTACAGGGGGAGTCAGGAGGACACAATGCTGGGATCACGAGGGCACAGTACAGGTTCTGGGACGCTGCCCGGGCCATCCCGGAACAACTTGGTAAAAAGTGTGACTGTCCCAGCAAATCCGGGACAGCTGGTAAGTATGATGTAATGCAAGATTATCATGGGCCTGGGGCACCTGAGCCCTGACCACAGCTATCCTGGAATTGCTGACTATCCAGGCCCTGAAGAACCAGAAAACAATAACAAATATGGCCCCAGAAAGGGATATACCTGAAACCCAGCAAAAAAAGGAGCAAGACCAGTATACAACCTTCAGAGGTAAAGGGACAAGGGGTGATTAGTAGTAAATCATGAAAATACTGGATGATAAGTATGGCACTCACATACACATGAATAAAACACAACCCATCAATAGGTTTAGTGGAGACATCAACGGATGGCAGCTTCTTAAGAATACTCTGATGGATATAAAATGATAAGAAATAGGAGAGAGGGGAAGCGCACCACTCTCAGTGTGATTTTAATAAAAGGCAGTGTACAAAAGAGATGCACTCACAAGAAGGTGGTGTAACATAGGCTTTACTCAATATGTCCAGCAGGTGGCATCCTTCTAAGGGGACTCCACCCCAAAACGTGTAGTTTCACCCACTCACGCCCAGCTTGAAGAAATCGGAAATCTCCATATACCCTTGATCCAGAACAGGGGTCTCCAAACTAAACATAAGGCCAGTTTATTTTCCTTCAGACTTTAGAAGGGACAGACTTTGGCCAGAAGAAGTAAAAAAAAGTCCTGGTATCGGTAACAATGACCAATCATTGGTGTCAGTGAGAGCAATAGTCCCTAATCGTTGGTGTCCGTGGGAGGAATAGTGCTGCATCATTGTTGTATGTAAAAGGAATAGTCTCCCATCATTGGATTCAGTGGGGGGAATAGTGCCCCATCATTGGTATCAGTGGGAGGAATAGTGCCCCATCATTGGTGTCAGTGGGAGGAATAGTGCCCCATCATTGGTATCAGTGAGAGGAATAGTGTCCCATCATTGGTGTCAGTGGGAGGAATAGTGCCCCATCATTGGTATCAGTGGAAGGAATAGTGCCCTGTCATTGGTTTCAGTGGGAGGAATAATACCCCATTATTGGTGTCAGTGGAAGGAATAGTGCCCCATCATTGGTATCAGTGGGAGGAATAGTGCCCCATCATTGGTGTCAGTGGGAGGAATAGTGCCCCATCATTGGTATCAGTGGGAGGAATAGTGCCCCATCATTGGTATCAGTAGGAGGAATAGTGCCCCATCATTGGTGTTAGTGGGAGAAATAGTGCCCCATCATTGGTGTCAGTGGGAGGAATAGTGCCCCATCATTGGTATCAGTGGGAGGAATAGTGCCCCATCATTGGTATCAGTGGGAGGAATAGTGCCCCATCATTGGTGTCAGTGGGAGGAATAGTGCCCCATCATTGGTGTTAGTGGGAGAAATAGTGCCCCATCATTGGTGTCAGTGGGAGGAATAGTGCCCCATCATTGGTATCAGTAGGAGGAATAGTGCCCCATCATTGGTATCAGTGGGAGGAATAGTACCCCATCATTGGTATCAGTGGGAGGAATAGTGTCCCATCATTGGTATCAGTGGGAGGAATAGTGCCCCATCATTGGTGTCAGTGGGAGGAATAGTGCCCCATCATTGGTATCAGTAGGAGGAATAGTGCCCCATCATTGGTGTCAGTGGGAGGAATAGTACCCCATCATTGGTATCAGTGGGAGGAATAGTGTCCCATCATTGGTATCAGTGGGAGGAATAGTGCCCCATCATCGGTATCAGTGGGAGGAATAGTGCCCCATCATTGGTATCAGTGGGAGGAATAGTGCCCCATCATTGGTATCAGTGGGAGGAATAGTGCCCCATCATTGGTATCAGTGGGAGGAATAGTGCCCCATCATTGGTATCAGTGGGAGGAATAGTGCCCCATCATTGGTATCAGTGGGAGGAATAGTGCCTCAAGGGCCGGATAAAGGCAAGCAAAGGGCCACAGTTTGAAGACCACTGAGCCAGAGGAAAACAAAAAAAAAAACTTTAGAGGTTCCTGTTTTCATGATTACCATTGAAGATCATGTGGTTATGTAGACCAGAGGGGTTAACTACATCCCCTCTCCATAACCTACTCATAACGTGACTATATTGTGAGTCGTGGATTTGTGGGGGGGTGGTCCTGAGACCTGAAACAATTTCCAAAGGGTTCGTCAATGGTTGAGAAAGCCTGAACTATAGGATCTACTCTATATTGCATTTCGGGTTTAATTTGGCCAAACACAGGTAAGATTTTTATTTGGACATTTGTAGAAAAATCTTTTATCAGAACTTTCCTTCTTGCCATCATTAAACCATCAGCAACAATTTCATTCAAAAGCTCCTAAAATTTCATCCAGACCCGATCTCTGAATGGCATCCCAGGCAGGTTAGACATTTTGTATCACAATATTATAATTTTTCCCACAATCACAGTTAGAAATCCGTTCATTTGAGAAAGATTTTCCGTCCTGTTCCTTCACATTTTTTTAAAATGGACATCGATTTGGCTCCACAAACCATCAGAAAATGAAACGAACATTCCAATAAACAAACATTTTCTGACAAAATTCTCTGGGTCTCTGGCTGGCTTTACATGGAACCAGACATGTCGTTACAAATCAAAATGCAGATGAGATTTTCATTATTGGATCTGAATTTCCGAATCACAATCTTAACGAATCAGAAATAAATTATAAGGAAACAAAATAGTGTAATGAAAGAACGAATTTGAAAAATTCAAAAATTGATTCAAATTAGAAAAATTCAAAAATTAATTTGAATTGGAGTTCAAAAATTAAAGTGATACTAAAGTCTTGTTTAAAAAAAAAAAAAACAAGCATGTTATACTTACCTGCTCTGTGTAATAGTTTTACACAGAGCAGGCACAGATCCTCCTCTTCTCGGGTCCCCCTGCCGGCGCTCCTGGCCCCTCCCTCCTGTCGATTGCCCCCATAGCAAGCAGCTATGGGGGCATTAGAGCAGGCGTGTTCCAGAGCTGCAGGTCTACGTGTCCATTTACACACAGAGCAGTGACTCAGCCCCGCCCCCTCCCTCTCTAGATTGGATCACTGGCTGTGATTGACAGCAGTGGAAACCAATGACTCCCACTGCTGCCACAGCCAATCAGGAGTCAGAATCCACGGAGAACTGAGACTCTCATGGACATCGCTTGATCGGGATGGGGCTCAGGTAAGTGTTAGGGGGGAGGGGTGGCTGCTACACACAGAAGGTTTTTACCTTCATACACAGAATGCATGAAGGTAAAAATCCTGGAGCCTTTAGAACCAATTTAATTTGAATCCGAAATGAAAACATATTACAATAAATTCAGTAAAATATAAAAGTGAAATAAGATAATGATCAGAATAGAAAAGAATAGAATGGAATAGAATAGAAAAAACATGGCTGTCTTCTGAAATTCAAACCGTTTTGAAAATGATGAATATACTAACTGAATCTGAATATCCCCGGACCCCGCATTCACTATATCCGGTCTCCCCGGACCCCGCATTTACTATATCCGCTCTCCCCGGACCCTGCATTTACTATATCCGCTCTCCCCGGACCCTGCATTCACTATATCTGGTCTCCCTGGACCCTGCGTTCACTATATCTGGTCTCCTCTGACCCTGCATTCACTATATCTGATCTCCCCGGACCCTGCATTCACTATATCTGCTCTCCCCGGACCCTGCATTCACTATATCCGCTCTCCCCAGACCCTGCATTCACTATATCTGGTCTCCCCGGACCCCGCATTCACTATATCTGGTCTCCCCGGACCCCGCATTCACTATATCTGGTCTCCCCGGACCCTGCATTCACTATATCTGGTCTCCCTGGACCCTGCATTCACTATATCCACTCTCCCCCGTACCCTGCATTCACTATATCTGGTCTCCCTGGACCCCACATTCACTATATCCGCTCTCCCCGGACCCCGCATTCACTATATCTGGTCTCCCTGGACCATGCATTCACTATATCCGCTCTCCCCGGACCCTGCATTCACTGTATCCGCTCTCCCTGGACCCCGCATTCACTATATCTGGTCTTCCTGGACCCTGCATTCACTATATCCGCTCTCCCCGGACCCTGCATTCACTATATCTGCTCTCCCTGGACCCAGCATTCACTATATCCGCTCTCCCCGGACCCTGCATTCACTATATCCGCTCTCCCCGGACCCCGCATTCACTATATCTGGTCTCCCTGGACCCTGCATTCACTATATCTGCTCTCCCCGGACCCTGCATTCACTATATCCGCTCTCCCAGGACCCTGCATTCACTATATCCGGTCTCCCCGGACCCTGCATTCACTATATCCGCTCTCCCCGGACCCTGCATTCACTATATCCGCTCTCCCTGTACCCTGCATTCACTATATCTGGTCTCCCTGGACCCTGCATTCACTATATCCGCTCTCCCCGGACCCTGCATTCACTGTATCCGCTCTCCCTGGACCCCGCATTCACTATATCTGGTCTTCCTGGACCCTGCATTCACTATATCCGCTCTCCCCGGACCCTGCATTCACTATATCTGCTCTCCCTGGACCCAGCATTCACTATATCCGCTCTCCCCGGACCCCGCATTCACTATATCCGGTCTCCCTGGACCATGCATTCACTATATCCGCTCTCCCCGGACCCTGCATTCACTATATCCGCTCTCCCCGGACCCCGCATTCACTATATCTGGTCTCCCTGGACCCTGCATTCACTATATCTGCTCTCCCCGGACCCTGCATTCACTATATCCGCTCTCCCAGGACCCTGCATTCACTATATCCGGTCTCCCCGGACCCTGCATTCACTATATCCGCTCTCCCCGGACCCTGCATTCACTATATCCGCTCTCCCTGTACCCTGCATTCACTATATCTGGTCTCCCTGGACCCTGCATTCACTATATCCGCTCTCCCCCCGGACCCTGCATTCACTATATCCGCTCTCCCCGGACCCCGCATTCACTATATCTGGTCTCCCTGGACCCTGCATTCACTATATCCGCTCTCCCCGGACCCTGCATTCACTATATCCGCTCTCCCCGGACCCCACATTCACTATATCTGGTCTCCCTGGACCCCGCATTCACTATATCCGCTCTCCCCGGACCCCGCATTCACTATATCCGCTCTCCCTGTACCCTGCATTCACTATATCTGGTCTCCCTGGACCCTGCATTCACTATATCCGCTCTCCCCGGACCCTGCATTCACTATATCCGGTCTCCCCGGACCCTGTATTCGCTATATCTGCTCTCCCCGGACCCTGCATTCACTATATCCGCTCTCCCCGGACCCTGCATTCGCTATATCTGCTCTCCCCGGACCCTGCATTCACTATATCCGCTCTCCTGGGACCCTGCATTCACTATATCCGCTCTCCTGGGACCCTGCATTCACTATATCTGGTCTCCCACAGTACACACAACATGGAAGTACAATTATTTTAGTAAATATAGACCTTTTCTCATCAGCAGTATATAGCAGTCTTGTGACTTCAGCAGACCACAGGATAAAGCTTGTAGGAGGAGTTTTCTTTCTGCTCTAGGAGGATGTAGGATCCCTGACCCTCTGTCTGGACAGTACTGATTGGCCCTGTGCTGATCACATGCACTCTCCCAAGAAAAAAAAAAGCTCTCTAGCAATACACACCAAACTGATCATGTGCATGTGCCTGTGGATGCAGTCTGTATCAGGTGGTCATTTCAATAAGAGGAGGGGCAGAGAAGACAGGATCAAACAGCCTTTTTACACAATGCAGAGGATTAACCCCTTAGGTTCCACAGTGAGTATAACAAGCATGCTTTACTGCATCTACAGACTGATTGTACTGTTGGGGGTTTAGTGACACTTTAATAAACGGATCCGAAACTAAACTAAACAAATATTTCCATCGTGCACATCTCTACACCAAACTCTCTAACAATGACATCATGCCTTCCTAGGTATCCTTTGTGGACTACAGAACAACTTGCCCCGCATTATGGAGAGCAGAGCAGGTGGTGTGCTGTACTCCTGTCCTAGGATGACAACGCCTACAATTCTCCTTCGGCGCAGTCCAGTGAAGGTTGTCACACTGGAAAGAAAGTGTTACCATACGGTGAAAGTAGCCGAAAAAGGATAAAGACAGATACAGACCTGAATAGCAGTTTCGAGCGAGCACCCCTAGCTCCTCCAGGATGGGGCTCAGCGAGTTCCAGCCAAGAAGACACCCAGAAAATAGCAAGGTCTCCACCAAGGCTGAGCCAAGCACCCACAGTCTCATGATCCTCCCCATATCTCTGGACGGGGGTCTTTGAAGAGCACCTGAGGGCCCCTCTACATCGGGTACAGCAGACAAGGAGCTGTGTGTGAAATCAGTCAATAAATGTGTTCTGATGGTGCATTGTTCTCCTACCATCCCGACACAAGTCTCTGTTTACACACAACATGGCTGTGCTCCTCACCCAGAACAAGCAGCCAATCCTGGGCGACGGAAGATGGCCGGACCTAGGGCCACAGTGTGTACACTACAATCGTAGCATAAACAGACAGAGATTACCGAGCAATTACCTGTTCACAGAGCGAATCCAGGAGAAAGGTAGCTGAAGAATTTCAATATTCAATGTTTCCCAATGCAAAAGGTTGAGGGCCCATCCACATTGGTGCATTGCGGTAACACACACACGTTGATATAGACTCTCTGGCCACTTTATTAGGTCCACCTTGCCGGTACCGGGTTGGACCCCCTTTTGTCTTCAGAAATGCCTCCATTCTTCATGGCTTAGATTCAACAAGGTGTTGGAAACATTCCTCAGAGATTCTGGTCCATATTGACATGATAGCATCACGCAGTTGCTTCAGATCTGTCAGCTGCACATCCATGATGGGAATCTCCCATTCCACCATATCCCAAAGGTGCTCTATTGGATGGAGATCTGGTGACTGTGGAGGCCAATGGAGTTCAGTGACCTCATTGTCATGTTCAAGAAACCAGTTGAAGATCTGAGCTTTGTGACATGGAGCATTATCCTGCTGGAAGAAGCCATCAGAAGATGGGGACACGAGTCATAAAGGGATGGACATGGTCAGCAACAATACTCAGGTAGGCCGTGGGGTTTAACCAATGCTCAATTGGTACTAAGGGGCCCAAAGTGTGCAAAGAAAAGCTCCCCCACACCATTCCACCACCACCAGCCTGAACCGTTGATACAAGGCAGGATGGATCCACCACACCATGACACCACCACCATCAGCCTGAACCGTTGATACAAGGCAGGATGGATCCACCACAACATTCCACCACCACCACCGCCAGCCTGAACCGTTGATACAAGGCAGGATGGATCCACCACACCATGACACCACCACCAGCCTGAATCATTGATACAAGGCAGGATGGATCCACCACAACATTCCACTACCACCACCAGCCTGAACCATTGATACAAGGCAGGATGGATCCACCACACCATGACACCACCACCAGCCTGAATCGTTGATACAAGGCAGGATGGATCCACCACACCATGACACCACCACCAGCCTGAATCGTTGATACAAGGCAGGATGGATCCACCACACCATGACACCACTAGCCTGAACCATTGATACAAGGCAGGATGGATCCACCACACCATGACCCCACCATCACCAGCAGCCTGAACCATTGATACAAGGCAGGATGGATCCACCACACCATGACACCACCACCACCAACAGCCTGAACCGTTGATACAAGGCAAGATGGATCCCCCACACCATGACACCACCACCATCAGCCTGAACCGTTGATACAAGGCAGGATGGATCCACCACACCATGACACCACCACCAGCAGCCTGAACCATTGATACAAGGCAGGATGGGTCCACCACAACATTCCACTACCACCACCAGCCTGAACCATTGATACAAGGCAGGATGGATCCACCACACCATGACACCACCACCAGCCTGAATCGTTGATACAAGGCAGGATGGATCCACCACACCATGACACCACCACCAGCCTGAATCGTTGATACAAGGCAGGATGGATCCACCACACCATGACACCACTAGCCTGAACCATTGATACAAGGCAGGATGGATCCACCACACCATGACCCCACCATCACCAGCAGCCTGAACCATTGATACAAGGCAGGATGGATCCATCACACCATGACACCACCACCACCAACAGCCTGAACCGTTGATACAAGGCAAGATGGATCCACACTTTCATGTTGTTTACACCAAATTCTGAGTCTACCATCTGAATGCCGCAGCTGATATCCATTTTGTTCTATGAGCCCAAAGAGGCAATAAAACTCAACAGAGTGTTTCTTCTGCAGTGCAGACTATGTTAGGAGTGTGGCGTATTTCTGATTTATTTATTTCAGGTACTTATATAGCACCAACAATGTACGCAGCACTTTACATATATATTGTACATTCACATCAATCCCTAACCCTCAAGGGGCGTACAATCTAAGGTCTATAACTCACATTCATACATACACATACTAGGAACAATTCAGACAGGAGCCAATTAACCAACCAGCATGTCTTTGGAGTGTGGTAGGAAACTGGAGTACCCGGAGGAAACACACACAGGCACAGGGAGAACATGCAAACTCCAGGCAGGTGGTGCCGTGGTTGGGATTGCAAACCAACAACCCTAGTACTGCCAGGAGGAAATGTTAACCATTTAGCCACTGTGCTGCCCTATGCGCTGATCTCACTGGTGGACATTCACTGTAACCGGTTCACTCAGAATCTGGTGCAGCCGTGCACGGTAGCCAATCAGCTTCTAACTTCAGCTTGTTCAAATGCTTTGAAAATAAAACTTGGAATCTGATTGGTTCCCATGCACGGCTGCACCTGATGCTGTGAGCTCCAGTTTTAGTAAATCTTCCCGTCTGGGATTGCCATCTGGATTTTTTTGCTGC